GGCATGTTAGAATTGAAGACTGACAAATTTAATTTTTTTCCCCTGTTGGATTTAGGACCTTCTCATGGATATCTACAGAAGCATAGGAGAGCCAGATAGTCTCTATGGCTGTGGTGGAGGAAGAATGTTGCAGCCTTTAGCTAGGTATCCATTTTGTTAGATAATCACTAACTTCATCTATTTTGTATTTCGTTGTTTTTTTTTAAAACCATTACTATCACATACTTTCTCCAAGCGACTCACAAAACTCCGATATTATAAGGTAAAATAATATAAATGTACGTATGAAGGCTGAGTGTTATAAATCTTTGCATTGTTCTTTATGTGTAACAGGATAAGAACTTACGAGCATGAAGCATTATGGGGGAAAGCCCTGGTCACTTACGACCTGGAAAGAAGCCTTCCACCCTCCACTCGGCAAGCAGGAATAATAGAGGTAATTCTTAGTACAGTATAGCTGGTATCAGTAAATGAGCAACTAAATAGTGTTCAGACTTCTATTGGCCATGGTAATAATAGGTAAGCTTTCATAACACCATATTTCCTCTCTAGCAACAGTTCTGGGTCTTGGTTTGAGGGAGTGTCTTAGTTCATATGAATGCCCCCCCCCTCCCGCTTCTAGGGTCTACCCCCTCCCTCTCCCAAAAAACACCCCTACATTATAATTTGTAAGCTTTACTTCAGGTGCCATCCCCTTGAAGGTGCAGGGTTGTCATCCTCAAAAAATAGTGCCTTGTCATCAGTGGCTGCCATTGCATGGGATTCTTTCGTAAGGGAAGCCCACCAGGTCCATGCCACTCCCTCTGTTTTAGAAGGAGAGCCTAGGAGTTTTGTTCTGCTAGGCCTTTTGAGTTCTGTGCTGCCCGGTTTTTATGTCGTCTCCTGCTGGCTATGTTTGTCTGTCCATCTCCCGCCCCCCCGGATTGTAGTATTTATTTCTTTATTAAATTTATCAACCTCCCTCCCCTGTAAAACCAGGCTCAGGGAGGTGTACAATACAGCCGTATAAAACATCAATAAAACAAATTAAAATTTATATCAGGCCATAAAAACATAATCATCTGATTAATTATTTACAGATGGCGCTAAAATTCTAGCTATCTCATGGGAAACAGGCAGAGGGGGGGAATGGAAAATGGGAGTGCCCAGACTGAACTGTCACCGTCCTCAGCCGAACACCTGGCAGAACATTTCTGCCTTGCATGCCCTGCGGAACTGTAAAATGTCCTGCAGGGCACGGATGTTGTTTGGCAGAGAGTTCCAACAGGTTGGTGCCAGGGCAGAGAAGGCCCTGGCTCTGGTCGAGGACAGCCAGATGCCTCTCGGGCCGGAGACCGCCAGTAAGTTCTGGTCTTTTGAGCGTAATGCTATTCTGTCTGAATACCAGGAGAGGCGGTCCTGGAGGTATGTTGGTCCCTGACCGTTAATTGTTCATTCTCACCATTGTCCAATAGACAATGGACTAATGTTTATGGCTGACCAATATGAAATACCTTTGTTGACTTTATTTAATTTTACTTACTTTATTTTTAGTCCATCTTTCTCAGATTACAAAGTTTTAAAAATGCAGTATAGTACACACAATGCAGTAAAACTGTGCAAACTGTGCAATAAACAAAATTAGAGATCAATGTAGTAGAACAGTACAATGCGTACTGTAAACCATGCAGTGCGAACTGCCTAAAGTTTTCACAGACATCAAAACTACAATCCTCTTCCCTTTATGTAAATGACTTCTTGAACAAGAAGGTGTGTTTTTTTTAACTTCAGCACTTCTTGATTCAAAACGTCATACCTCAAATGTCCTACAAGTCTCAGCAGGATGCAGTATAGTTTATTTGGTAATGTTTGGAGTACCTTCAAAAATCAAATCTGATTATTCAGATGTTATTCTTTTATCTCACGGATTGTAGGCCTTGCAGAATTTTGGGCTATGTGACACCCTCTCCGTCTACTTAAAAGGACTAGAACAGGAGAACCCTGAATGCTCGTTGGAATTACAAGAGCTTCGTTATCAGGCAGCTTGGAGGAATATGCAGTGGGACCTGACCTCTTTCGTCAAGTAATGCAAACTCTATAGTTTTTTTCTTTAGCTGTGGTACCTTAACATCTTATTGTGGCTATATTTATTTCATACCCAAAATAAAAGCTGTATTCAAGGTATAGTCATTTGGGTGTGAGTTAAATGCTTTTGGCTCTTCACTTATAAGGGCAGCCAATATGCCCATTAAAGGCTACTTCTATTTTTCTATACATCTGTATTTCTTTTTCTTGCTTTTAAGAGATGAGTCGGGAGAAAGAGGTTACCATGAATCTCTGTATGATGCTCTGCAGTGTTTTAGGGACAAGGAATTCCCTACTTTTTATGAAAGACTAAAGTGTGCCAGGTAAATAGCAAGCCTTGAAAGTACTTTTTTCCCCATCATGCTGCATGTGGTATTGCAAGATGAAATGCTAATGTGCATATTCTAGGCTTTTATTTTCTTTTGTTTTCTTGAATGTTACAAAGTATGTTAATGAGAGATGAATGCAAAACCAGCCACTTCTTCACTTGTGCAAGAGGTCTGCGTAGTTTCTAATGAGTTTTCCATCTGAATAATCAGTGAGAAGGCCTAAACTTGAATGGATGACAAAAATAAAGTTGAGCTACACAAATTTGTCAAGACCTCACCAACAGGGATGGTCTTGGTGGGACAAATTTAACCTGTAGAATTTATTTGACCTTTCAGGTGCAGTGTAATAAGCATCCCTGTTGGGTATTACAGTGTCCTTTAAGTCAGACATCGTATAAACTAGAGGGCTATGGTTCAGTCCAGTTTTATTTTCATATGAAAGTTAGTGAACTGATGCTGAGCCTCGGTGTTGCCTGCTCTGAATGGCAACAGCTCTCCAGGATCTCAGACAGAGAATTTTGAACTGATGCTGAGCCTCAGTGTTGCCTGCTCTGAATGGAAGGAGCTGTCGACCGAAATGGAGCCCGCCGGGATGAAAAGTGAAAGCGCCGAGCCAAGAAGGATGTTAATCTACCACCACAAAGGGTGCTAGTAGGTAACCCCACCCCATAACTCTGTGGCCATAGTTAGGGTAATTTGTGTGTGATTAGCACCATATGTAAGCCGCTCAGAGACCCCCTGAGAAGGGGGTTCGAGCGGGATATAAAGTCGAAGGTTAAAATAAATAAGTAAATAAAACAGCTCTCCAGGATCTCAGACAGAGAAAGGTCTTTCCGGACTGACACGTGAGATTTTTTAATGGGACATGTTAGAGATTCAACCTGGAACCTTCTGCATGTGAAGTACATGTTCGTATCACTGAGCCACAGCACCAATCCCTTCTTGAAACCTGTCTTGTCTAAAACGTATGAGACTATTAAGTGTGCTTTGGCATGTGCTATTTTAAATTTGACAGTAAATGGCACAGCAATTCCCATAATCTGTTTCTTATATTCACAGAGTCAAGGAGGTCGAAGAACTGTCTAAAGGTAGTCTTGAGTCTGTGTATTCCTTGCTGCCAACACTTTGCAGACTGCAGACCATAGGAGAGTTGGAACACACAGGATGGCTTTTCTCCGGGTATTTTATTGTTTCTTTTAATGTGTCATTATCACTGTGTAATGTTTCCTTCAGGATGCCCGTGCATCACCACTCATCAGATTCTGCATTCCCTTATTACTCCCTTGAATAAAATACAGTCTAAATCAAAAAGGTAAACAAAACTTATCAAACCTTACAATACTGAAATCTTTTAAATATGTGTATATGTTTTGCATCTGCTGCTGAGCTGACACATGACAAACCTCTGTTCATGACAGGCACAAGCAGTTTGTTTGCCACACCCGCACATTCCTTCCCTTGTGCACAAATTGGGCAAACTGGAGTTGCTTTCCTTGCCACAAATGGGGCTAAACCATGGTTTAGAATCTTGATTTGGGGGGAAGGAAACAAACTCCAATTTGCCTGGGAAGGGGAGGAGCTGAGCGGGTGGGTGGGCTTGGCAAACAAGTCATGTTTTTGCCTGTCACAGACAGGCATGGATTTGTTGTGACATCTGAATGTGGCCTGTATTAGCACAGGGATTAGCATACCGTGACAAAGTGTTTGACTTAATTTGTACACTTGATATGTTGGCATAATTATGTTGCACTGCTGGCATAATGCCATGTTTTGTGAGTCTGTGCCAGCATGGAAGACAGGCATGGATTTGTTGTGACATCTGAATGTGGCCTGTATTAGCACAGGGATTAGCATACCGTGACAAAGTGTTTGACTTAATTTGTACACTTGATATGTTGGCATAATTATGTTGCACTGCTGGCATAATGCCATGTTTTGTGAGTCTGTGCCAGCATGGACGTTGGTAGGTTCTTGTTATGAAAGACAGGGGGGAAGCTGCCTTTTCTTGCTGGAAAACTCCCTTAGACCAAGGTTTCATCTTTGTCATCTATGCAGTCCCACGTTGGGGACTCTGTGTGTGCAGGCCTACTATGGCTAGATCTTCTAGCCCAGATCCCTTAGGAGACGTCCACATGCCTATTGGAGCTGTTGTATCCATTTCCCTACCAACGGTCACATGGTCCAGTGGCACACCACCCCGACAGAGTAGGTCATTCTCCTAGCATTGTCTTCAATCTTAATAGTCTCTCACACCTGCTCCGCTACAAGGTCAAATTATCAAATGATTGTGGCGGCTTAGATGGAACTGAGGGAGTCAGGGCAGTGTGCCATTGGGCCATGTGATCATTGGGAGGGAAACCTCCCCACTGCACAGCTGTTTTTGCGGCTTTCGTGGGGAACAGAAAGCAGGGGTTTAAAGGGACTTGAGGTTCCCTCAAACCCCTGCTTTCTGCTCCATCCATGAACTGCCACAAACTGCTTTAAAAGTTTATGGAAGTTTGTGATGGTAGACCCATCACAAACTTCTGTTCATGAACTATGAACTGGGCAAAATTCATGAGGAATTTGTCTTCAGTTCATGCCCATACCCAGTTCATAGAATCATAGAGTTGGAAGGGATCTCCAGGGTCATCTAGTCCAACCCCCTGCACAATGCAGGGAATTCACAAATACCTCCCCCTCCACACTCGCAGTGACCACTGTTCCATGCCCAGAAGATGACAAAAAACCTCCAGGATCTCCAGCCAAATTGTTGAAGTTCAGTTTCTCTGTTCTACTTCTGTATTGGATCAAGCTCTGTGGACTTGGGCAAAATATTATTATCTTCAAACATGTGAAATGTGACGCTCGGTGTATTACTGATTAGGTTGTCTTTTAAAGTTATGGTCACAATCAATGTTTTATAGTTTGGGGTGCATTTTAGAGGTCTGAATGAATGCCGAATCTCACAGAACCTCTCAAGATCATTCTCCCATTGGATGGCGGTCAGTACATAGTTTCTGCACATGACTAGTAAAAGTTTCAATAGATTTTGATTCCTGATCTGTCATTTAGAATCAGCACCATGCCTCAAAATTGTATCCTTGTGCCTTTGTGCAAAAAATTGGTAATACTCAGTGCGAGCTCATCACTTTCTTTCATACCATCTCTACTTTCAGACCTCTTACTAACAAGCAACTGAATTATATGTATCTGAAGTGGCAGAGCCAGTCCAGTCTCCTCCAGGACAGTGATTTCAGTTTCCAGGAGCCTATCATGGCTTTGCGCACAGTGATTCTGAAGGTCCTGCTGGAGAAAGAGAATGAGAACGCCAAAAGGGACTGCATTAAAGATACTCTCACCAAACATCTCGTGGAACTGTCGAGGTTGGCTCGCATGGCCAAAAACACTCAGGTATTAGATCTGAAAAGTTCCCTCTAGACACACTTTCAGAGTACCTGATGGCACGTGTATCTTAATGAACTTACAAATATTGGCTTGGATCCCGCTGGAAATCTTTGCTGATCGAAGGATTTCTTTTGGAGGATCATGATTCCTTTCCCCCATCACAGCCCAAAATGTGCCCCACAATTCGGGGGTTGGGGTCACCAGGAATGGTAAGACAAAGAGACAGACCTCTGTCGTCCATGGGAGGTGAGAATCGGCTCCCTCCTTCTGTCAGCAGACATGACTACCCATTTGCTGTAGCTTGATGGTTTAATTTTTTAAAATTAGACTTCTTGAGATTTCTCCAGGATGGGACAGAGTTCCATTGTTCTCCACTGTTGTTGTTGTTGTTAAACATTTTCTGTTGCTATAGTCACATCCACTAACCCCCTCCCCCCCAAATATACAACTTAAGATCTGAAAGTCAAGCCTTTGTGGTTTTGGAAAGTGTGCTTCCATCATTGGACTCTTCTTCAACAGTGCTCAAAATTACTTATCTTTTCCGTTTTCCCAAAAGAAGCATACACAATGATACCTTATGCTGAAATGAGCATTGGTGGTGTTCTGAAAAACCTTGTGAACTCAATTGTTATGGTTGTTGACAAATAAGATCCACTGTTGCATTTTCATCTATAATTTTGGTTTTGTCAACTGAATCTTCAAGTGATTCTGTCATTAGTCTCTTTTGTTTGTTAACACAACATAAGAGTTGGAGGCCCAAATGTCTCTTGTCATGAAGCGTGGTGCGACATTAACAAGCCCATAGTTTCTTATTCTGAATGAATTCAATATAACTAATGTTAAAAACCCTGTGCCCTTGGTCTTGAAGGTGTTTGTGGGAATGAATGTGCAGGGGTGGAGTTTGGATTTTAGAAATGTGAGTCAATGGACCATATCTCAAAAAAAAAAAAAGAGGAAAAAGTGAACAATTATTATTTTTTCAGCTTCCAGAAAGAGCGATGTTTCAAATTAAACAGGATAGCCCAATGAGACATGGGGTGTCTGAATGGCAGTTGGAGGAAGCCCAGGTGTTCTGGGCTAAAAAGGAAGAGAGCTTAGCATTGAGTATTCTAAAGAAGATGATCAAGAAATTGGATGAAGATTGGTTCACGGTAATGTGCTATATTCTGTTGGCTTGATAACTATATTGTTTAAATTCCTATTTGGTGTAGTGGTTGAGAGCCAGTTTGGTGTAGTGGTTAAGAGCGTGGACTCTAATCTGGGAGAACCGGGTTTGATTCCCCACTCCTTCATATGCAGCCGGCTGGGTAGCCTTGGGTCAGTCACAGTTCTCTCAGAGCTGTTCTCTCAAGAGCAGTTCTCTCAGAGCTCTCTCAGCCCCACCTACCTCACAGGGTGTCTGTTGTGGGAAGGGAAAGGAGATTTTCAGGTAGTGAAGGTATAAATCCAATCTCGTCATCGTCCTCCTCCTCTTTTTGATTTGAAGACAAACAAATCAGTTTGCAGTGCTTAAATGGACCGAAATACACATAGGCACACTTCATCTAAAGGGGTGGGGGAGTTAAAAAGGAAGAGTATCACAGTATGTTGGGGAGGGGTGTCACTTTACCTTATGGACAATTGTTAGTTAATATGTCTGGATATTTTTGTCCGTCTAAGGTTGAAAAAGACCCACACTTGAAACTAATTTACACAGAATGTTTGAGATTATGTGGAAGCTGGTTAGCAGAGACCTGTCTGGAAAATCCTACCGTCATTATGCAGAATTACTTGGAAAAGGTAAAGGACTTTGAATAAGGCAGCTTTGGAAAATGATCAAGAAAATTACATTTTTGTATAGTTTTAAAGATATTTAATCTGCATCTTTGCAGTTCATTTGTTATTTAATCATTAAGTCGCCAGCATGGGTTATTCTCAGTCTTATAATGTTCTTTCCAGGCAGTAGAAGTTGCAGGAAGCCAAAATGGTGACCACTGTGATGAGCTAAAGAGTGGGAAGATGAAGGCGTTTCTGTCTCTAGCTCGTTTTTCAGATACTCAGTATCAAAGAATTGAGAACTATATGAAATCCTCGGAGTTCGAAAACAAGCAAGCTTTGTTGATGGCAGCCAAGGAGGAAGTTGGCCTACTAAGAGAGCATAAGATTCAGATGAACAGGTAGGTCTCTTAATTGAGGTGTTGATTGCAAAGATGACTGCCATGTTACCCATTAATGGAAAACAAGCCAATGAGGGTTACCGTAGCTGGTTGAGTGGGTGTGATCTTAGAGTTCATCTGATTTAAAGGCACTTTAGTCTTCAGAAGAGGGGGCAGCAGTTTCTGCTAGTCATCCCCTCCCACAGTTGACCCTCACTTTCACTTTTTGCTGATCTGGTGGCTCTCCTGATCACCAGGAAAGAAATTTCATGGGGCTCAGAGTGCTGGGAAGCAAGGATGCCCGCTCCATGAAGTCTTTGGATGGTTGGATACATGCCATGAATGTGACTGGTTTATTCCTAAATCTTTGTTGAAAAGATACATAGTCAAAGTTCAGCGGGAGCTTGAACTTGACGAACGTGCGATTCATGCACTGAGAGAAGATCGCAGACGTTTCCTGTGCAAAGCGGTTGAGAACTACATCAGCTGTTTACTGAGTGGAGAAGAGTACGACATGTGGATCTTCCGGCTTTGTTCACTCTGGCTTGAGAACTCGGGAGTTTCTGATGTCAATGCGATGATTAAGGTTAGCTCCTCTGTAGCTTTCCTACTCCTGTATTTGTATATGAATATCTGGTGAAGGGTGAGTTCGCCATGGTCTCAGGAAGGATATGGTTGGTGGGTACATGATACAGCAGCCGGTTTAGGTCTGGCTAGTGGCTGGATGGGAGTCATCCTTAAAATTCTACACACGTCTCTTTGACTTCTGTCATGAAAGAAAGGTGGGAGGTTTATTACATTTATACAGCTGCCATCTCATTCTCGTAAATTACAACGCCTGTTCTCACCGAGAATTTAGGCTGCTTCCGCAAGGGGATATTTCCTCACCTGGAAGGCAGGAAAACCTCACATTAATGGGGAATGACCACAGAAATGTATTAATTCAGAGCATGATTTGCAGTGTTCCCATGGCTTTCCCCTTCATGACCGGGGGGGTAGGGGGAGGCCTATTTCAGTCTGGCTCAAAAAGCAGTCCGCAGAGTGGTTGCAGGGGCATATCCGACTTCTGTATGAGGAGGAACTACAGTGTGCATGAGCTGTCTACATGAGGAGAAGGTAAGCCCCCCATAATCCTTTATAGGGCTTCCCCCCCTTTTCTAGCTGAGCTGCTAGTGAGAGGAGAGGGAAAGCGTTCAGGGCTGGGGGGGGGTCAGTGCAGTGACTTTTGTGCCTGCCTTCGTTCACAGGCGTGAGAAGGAGAGAAGGGGGAGGAGCAGGGGGTGGGGGGAAGAGGTCATCCCCACATGTTCCCATGGTGCTTGCTGCCACTGCTGTGGGAGGGGCATGTTTTTGCACCTCCACTTGGAAGCAGATCTAGTCTGAACCAGAATTTCGAGGCTTGAATTCCCATGTCCTCCCTCTGAAGTCTGCTGCACTGAGTTTTTCATTGCTCACATTCATCAAATATGTAGCTTCGTTGAGAGAGGTATCTTCCATTGAAGCTTTCTTCGGTTTTTTACCAGTAGTTGCTCATTTAATGTAAGTCGTTTACTTAACATGATGTAACATATTAAATATATGTCCTGATTATGTTTATATTAAATTCCTAAACCTGTCTCTTTGTTGACTTTGTCTCTAATTATGTGTGTGTGTGTGTGTTTTCTTCTACCTACAAAGTACTGTCAGAATGAAAAGCTTGTCTTCTGACACATTGTGCAAGTTATCATCCTGTTTGCCTCCTGTCTGTACGTAACACAGCCGTGTCGATGAAAGCTGATTTTTGCTGATGTTTTCTTATGCTCATATAATCATCTGGTAGTTGTTTAAAAACTGTGTGTTACAACTTTTCGGTACCAAAACAGTAGCCATTTACATCTTTGACATTCATAATGTTTAGAAAAATGTTTTTAAATGCATTGGTATCTGTACATACCAGGAGCTGCGGTGGCTCAAGTGGTTAAGACGCTGAACTGCAGGCTGTGGAAGGTCGGTAGTTCAGCAGTTCGAGACCTGGATGCCGCATCCCGTCTCTAGTTCCAGCTCCTGCCAACCTAGCAATTCGAAAGCAAGAAATTGCAAGTAGATAAATAGGTACCACTTCAGTGGGAAGGTAACAGCGTTCCGTGCGCCTTGGTGTTTAGTCATGCTGGCCACATGACCAGGGAAATGTCTTCAGACAGCGTTGGCTCTTCGGCTTTGAAACGGAGATGAGCACCGCAACCCTAGAGTCGGATTCGACTGGCTTTCGAGCAAGGGAACCTTTACCTTTTTATCTGTACATACACATTGTGTTTTTTAAATATTAAATATTTTCTCCTGTTGATTTTGTTTTCTCTTTATTACATGTCCTTCTGTGGTTCAACAGAGAGAGGCAGAGAAAATACCGTCCTACAAGTTTCTTCCTCTGATGTACCAGTTGGCTGCTAGAATGGGAACCAAGATGATGGGAGGCCTAGGGTTTCATCACATTTTGAATAATGTAATTGCTCATCAGCCATAAAGCCTTTCCTTCCTGTGGCATGCAAATATATCTTTTTTCCCCATAACAAAACTTGAACACTTGCTTTATTAGACATTGAGGATATTTATGTGTTGCATTATATTTTAGTGCTTTCATTATGTAATGTTGGGTATATTTTGTAGTTAGTTGGAAGTGATTTAGTGCCTTCTTAGAAGGAGGATCATTAAAAAAAACGGTTACGAATTCAGACACTGGGTTGGATCCAGCTTTGTGGAACTGGTAAAAGAAATCAGAGTGTGTCTCTGCTTCTGGAAGGGTTTGCGTAAGATCTTGTGCAACATCTCCTGCTGATGAACCATGGCCTTCTGCCATTTCCATTTGGAATGCATTTGGAGTTGTTCGTGGATACCCCTGGGCTATCCATTTTCTCCCAGAGGTGATTCCTGGGGATAGACTCAAAAGCCCCTTTAAGGTTCAGAAATGCCACATATAATTTGGATCTTCTGCACCCTGTGTACTTATTAGCTAAGTGAGAAAGAACCAAACAGTGGTCCAAAGTTGATTTCCCCTGCCTAAAGCCGATTTGCTCTGGGCCGATAAATTTCTGAGCTGTTAACCAATTGTGGGGTTTGTTTTGTAATAATTTAGTGTACAATTTGCCGATGACAGAAAGGAGGCTGATAGGTGTAAAATTTGCAGGGTTTGACTGGTCACCCTTCCTAAAAACCGGGACTGTAATTGCATTAGTCCATGTTGTGGGCACTCCTTGGACTATCGTTATGTCCCCTGTGCACTGTAATATGCTTGACTTAGCACAAGTGGTTACTGTGGCCTTTTGTGGCCTCCTTTGTGGCAGTGATGGCTGCAGAGTATAGTTACTTATTTGCCCCTATTCTGTCTGTGCAAAATCAGCCAGCAGAGCTTTTCTCAGTAGTGAGGGATTTCTTCATCTCAAACCAGGAAGGTCTCACAGAGTAGTTGGCAGCCAGAGTTTCACAGGCTTCTGGTTAATTTCTGATCCCAATTCAAAGGGCTTGTGCTTATTTTTGAAATTATAAGCAGGCTGGGCCTTCTTAAGGGCCTCCTTTTGCCATATAAGTCTCCCCATGCATCGAGTCCTTGAGATGGGTGGCCAAAAGTTGTAAGACAATTTCAGCAGTGGCACCTTTGCACAGCAGTACCTGCCTAGCACATGCCTTGCTAAGGTTTAGGCACCAGATGAATGTGTTTCTATTTACCGAGGCAATTGGCATTGTGTATGTCTGTTTTTGCTGAGTGGACTGGATGTTATTTTCTCGTTAGATTGATTGTTTTGCCTGTAGTTAAAATATATATTGTTTTGTGGTTTTGTTTGTTTTAATGAATTTTTAAACACTTTTACTTTTGATGCTTTTTTGTTTTAGTGTGGTTGCTGCTGATTTTATTGTTTTTATTGATAGATTTTTAAAGTATTTTATTTCTGTTAGCCCCCTCAAGTGCTTTATGCCTATGATGCAATACAGAAATAATTTAAATAATAATAAAATCAACGTACATCGGACTTACTTCTAAGAAATTATTCATACAGTTGGAACTTTTCAGTCCCTTCTATCATTTTTCGGCTTGAAAACAGGAAAGCTTATTTTACTTGTAACATTTTAAAGTTGCGTTTGTACAATAAAGCACTAATTGGGATAATTAAACCAAGACCAATACAGAATTAAATCATTTTGAATATTGATATTAAACCTTTGGTGCTCTTTTAACACTAAAATCATAACGTTTCCTATGTTTTTATATTTCCTTATAGCTTATAGCAAGGATTTCGCTAGATCATCCGCATCACACTTTATTTATAATCCTGGCTTTAGCAAATGCCAACAAGGATGAACTTCTGACCAAACCAGAAGCAGCAAGACAAAGCAGACTAACTAAAAATGTGCCAAAAGAAATCTCCCCCTTGGACATGGTACTTGAATTCTGCTGTTATTTGTTGTAATTTAATTCAACCCTGCAGTAGCTTTAGGCTGAGAACACGTTCCATATCTGCATGATCAATGTTACAGTTACTGTTTTCCACATTGTTCAACATTGCAAAGCAGCAAATTGTCCAGTTTCCTATTTATTCCCCATCCTTTCCCCCTCCCATACAGTGCTAGTGATTTTCATCTGAAATATGTGGAATGAACAACTTGTATTTTAAGAAGTATTTTTTTTATTCTGTAGGATCGCATGGAGGCTGCCAGCAATATAATTAACATGATAAAATGCAGAAGAGCTGATATGGTGAGAAATGTTGAAGCTCTATGCGATGCTTATATAATTTTGGCAAACTTGGATGCAAGTCCATGGAAATCTCAGAGAAGTAAGTGATGGGGGGGGGAAGAAATAACATTATTGGGGTGAAGTCAGTACTGATAATAGCTTGAAGAGAACAGCATCCTTTCCTTTTATTCCCTTAGAAGCTCACTGATTCATAAATCTTGAGCAGCGGGAAATACTTATTCCTTATTTTTTGGCTGCAAAGGCTAAAAGGACTGAAACACATTTTGCAATTGCTAAGGTAAACTTAGGATCCTTATCACTAAGCAAAAGAGCCAGGGTTTCTGGAGTATAAGGTGGCAGTTGGTTAATTAAGGGCTTAAGATATAATGATCCCTTGTATTTTCAAAGAACCTACGTTCAAGAAGGGTCATGAAAGGATGTATCAATCCAATTAAGGCCAGAAGGGCAAACTCTGTCGGAATAGGGCCTATTCAAAAATCTGCTCTGTAATACCTTGTTCGTATAATAGTCAATCTTGCAAACAAGAAAGCTCTTCAGTATCATGGGAGAAAACAGCATCCTTATACATTTCTCCACGATTTTGTGAAAAGCATTTTTCTTTTTTATCAAACCAGGCGCTTTACTTATCTATTAATGGGATAGTTACCCAGTTGACTAATCCAAACTCTGCATAAATAAGTTCAGGTTTGCGGGAACATACACATGTGCCCAGATTTGTAGGTGATACTGAGATACTTGGAATGATTTCGCTAATATCAAGAGAGAAATGTTATCAGTTGTTTCTTCATAGACAAGGGCCCAGTGACCCAGCTTTCAAAATAGTCTGTTAATATATAAATAAATGTTTAGTACATGCATTTGTTATTAATGCAGGAGGCATAAGTATCCCATCTGATCAACCTATTATGAAACTAAAGAACCTAGATGACGTTGTGGTACCTACCTTGGAAATTAAGGTAAATAAGGCTTCACTTTTCTCAGTAATAGTTCCTACATAGCCACATTTGCGAGCATTGATGTTTCTGGAATGGAATGAATTGTAAAAGGTTCTGCTGAGCATGTTGCCCATTTAGAAAGACAGCTGTCATTAAGGCATATTTTTATGCTGTAAACCACCTTGTAAATTTACTATTGAAAGGCAGTACATAAACTTAGTAGACAAATGTGACATAGTGGCATCTGAAAATATTTGCAATTTTAGGTGGACCCAAGTGGAAAGTATGAAAATTTGGTTACAGTAAGATCGTTCAAGCCTGAGTTTCGCTTAGCAGGAGGTGTCAATCTACCGAAAATAATAGATTGTATTGGATCAGACGGCAGAGAGATGAGGCAACTTGTCAAGGTAAGTTCTGTGTGCTGCAGTTTCTAGAGGGGTCTACTTTCATCAACTGAGAAAACTTTCAGTTACATGTAGAGTATTGAGTTCTTCTTATCCAGTTTGGTTGGTCACGTTCAGATGGTTGTCTGATCACTAAGCCTTAGTTTAAGGCTTAAGCAGTCCTAATTGCCAAGGCATGGTATGCAGTTGGCTAGCTTGATCTCTGAACTGGCCAGGGGTCTAATGAGCTACTAGGCTATTAGCATAATAGCTCATTAGCATATGCAACACCCCCTGACATCACTGGAAGTGATGTCAGAAGGGGAAGCAAAAGGGGGGGAGGCATCTTCAAAAGCCTCCCCTTCCCTTCCCTGGGGGGGGGAAGCAAAGAGAGAAGGGGTTTAAACTTTAAACCCCTTCTCACTAGAGTTGGGCCACAGAAGGAGGAAAGAAGGAAGGAAAGAGAGCGAGAGAGTAGAGAGAAGGAACGAAAGAAGGAAAGAGGGAAAGAAAGGGAATGAAAGAAGGAAGGAAAGAGGGAATAAAAAGAGAGAAGGAAAGAAGGAAGGAAAGAGGAAAGGAAAGAAGGAGAGAAAGAAAGAGAGAAAGGAAAGAGGAAAAGGAAACAATGAAAGGAGGGAAAGAAAGAAAGAGCAAAAAGGGAAGAAGGAGGAAAAGCGAGAGAAGGAAAGAAGAAGAAAAAGAGAGGAACGAAGAGAAGGGAACGAGAGAAAGAAAAGTAGGGGAAGGAAAGGAGGGAAAGAAAGAGGGCAAAGAGATGGGGGGAGGGTCTCCCTGTCTCCCACCCCCCTCCCCCAATGAAGCGTCTCCCACCCCACCCCCCCGCGGATCCCTCACTTACCCCGGGAGGCGGCGGGGAGAATCCTCTGGCCTCCTCTTCACTCCCTGGGGCTGCTGCAGATCGGA